GTCAGCTATAACCGCTCATTGAATGCATAGATGACCGGCTCTCTCAACGGGGGGGTAAATAGGGGGGAAAATAAAAGAAAATGGGGGAAAGGGAGCTTACGTTGATCAACTCGCTTGAAGGCAACCTTGGAGGCTCTCTTATTCTTCTTAGTCCTGGGTTTGAGCTGGCGTTGGGAAGTGTTATCTGCAACAGGTTGGTTCATGAGACGTGCACGCCTGATCGTTCTTCTGTCAAGCTGGTTAATGTGATTGATCTGTTGGGCGCGCTTATGCATGTCCCGAGTAATATTGGCGGCATTGCTGCTGACGACATCATAACCGCCAGTGTCGCCTGGTATACTAGATGGCATGTGTTGCGGATTCTCCAGGTGATGCTGCAACTGCTGCTGCTGTTGCTGCTGCTTCTTGAGCAGCTTCTTGACGATCTTCTTTGCCACCTTTTTGCTCTCCTTTTGCTTCTTTGACCCCTGGTCTTCATCTGATGAATCGTCGTCATCACTATCAGAGGAGTCCTCGGTGTCTTCCTGCTTTCGAGACCGAGATTTCTTCTTCTCCTTCACCCGTCTAGTCCGCTCATTGGTCTTCTTTTTCTTCTGCTTTGACTTTTTCTGCTCAGACTCGGACTCTGACGAGTCTGAGTCTGAACTGCTGTCCGAATCCGAAGAGTCCGAGTCGGAGCTCACCTCTTCCTCGTCCAGGTCGCTGTCGCTGTCACTGCTGCTGTCACTCGACGAGCTATCCGTCTCGACCTTCTTCTTGCTCCTCTTCTTGCTCTTTTTCTTATTCTTGCCGGCCTTGTCTGACTTGGAGTGAGAGTGAGTATGTTTACCACAGCCAGGCTTCTTGGCGGCGGCAGTAGTGTTGGCCCCGTCTGCTGCCAGCGAAGGGTTGACCTCTGTCTTTGCAGCCAGGTTTTCCGCTGTGCGGTCCTGCTGCTTGATCTCGAGACTATCTCCCTTGTCACCCATGCTGCCGGCTGTCGTTGTAGTAGTAGTATTGGAGTTGGAGTCGTCCGGTATGGCTGATGATGTAGAAGGCGTGGACGGAGTGAGAGAAGCTGCCGGAGTGTCTCTCTTGGAGCCGTCGATGGTCGAAGACGCAGTTGTCGAGCTCTGGGGAGGCGGAAGAGGTTCTGAGCCAGCCATGTTGGAAGCTGCAGAAGGGGCGGGTGCTTGGAGATATATAAATATATCAAGCAGTGCAGAGCAGGCAGCAACCGGGCTCAACCAAGCTCAACAAAAAGGGCTAAGAAAAACGGCCCAGCAGGCAGCAGGACAGTGTAGCGGTGAGAACGCGAGCCTCAGGGCCCAGTTGGCAAGCCGAAGACGGGGGCCAGGGGAGCTGTACGAAGCAATCACTGTGAGTCAGGGCCGCCGGGTCAGCTTCAAGCAGGCAGCAGCACAGGGATGGATGGGGGTGGATGGATGGATCAACAGGCAGATGCGATGCTGAACCGGCCAGTGTCTTTTTTTTCACCCTTCACGGCGAGCAGGAAAAGCCCAGAAGTCGGGAGACGCTCCCTCTGCAGGCGCTCGAGAGGCGAACAAGCCGGCCCAGAAGCTGCCCGGCTGAGTTGGTGGTTGGTGAGAGGTGACGCCGGCCTGGCTGGCACAGCGAGAAAGTGAAGCGGCCGGCCAGCCAGTCAGGCGCGGCGAAAGCGCCGGCGGTGGAGCTGCAGCCGCCTGGGGGAGCGCAGGGATCGCGACAGCTCAGCTTCCCGGCATTAGCACTGGTGTACATACTTAAGGGGGGGCGCTGCGAAGGGGACCGCAGACGGGCTGCAGGCTGCAGGCTGCAGGCTGGCTCTTCGTCTCGGGGTCCTCGTCCTCGCCGTCTCTTCGACAGAGTATGGACTCTGCTGCTTCCTGGGTCAACAAACAGCTTAAGCTGGAGCCGGTGGGCCTCTCCACGCCCGGCGCTCCGAGCCCCATCCCTAGCGGCCCCGTAGTTAGCCCCCGTAGCCCCCGTAGCAAGGCCCATGTCAGCCCCTAGGACGCCGATGAAGCCCCCAGGCAGGCCTAAGCAAGCCTCAGCTGGACCTGGCTGGCCCCTGAGTGGCTCCTCCCACGCCCCAGCCAGCGCCTCGCGTCAACGCTGGACAGAACAGTCGTCGCTCGCCCCGTCCCCTGGCCCCTGTCCCGTCCATGGCCTGGCCCACCCTGCTCCACGCAACAGCCAGAGAGCTGCAGGAGGAGTCGGTCTTACGGCGTTGCTTGTTAGCTGCTCTGTGACTAGCTGGTGATCTGATGGTGGACTCGACCCTGCGGCAGATGTGGCTCGTCGATGGGCAGAGTCCTGGCTACAGAGTGATACTTTTGACATATACGGAGTACGGATACTTCTAAGGGGGAAAAATCTCCATTGTTGGTTAATATTCACTGACTGCCCTCAAGGATGGTAAAAAAGGTACTCCGAGATCGGCCTGCAGGGGTACAGATGAAGCTGCAGTGACACGCTGGAGGACTTCCAAGTATCCGTTCGAGCCCCCTAATTCGTTCCAGTTCCGTCTATCCTAGCCAGTCACCATGTCCATCCAGCATGTATGTCTGTAAGAGAAAGAAAAAAAAAAAAAAAAAAAAAAACGAAGTGACTGCTTTTCCAACTAGCATAGTTACCAACGTAGTTAGCGATGTGTCGGGTTGGCTGGATGGCTGGCTGGTTACTCGTCGATCCCGTCAGCCTCCTTGGTAGCCATCTTCCGTCCAAGATCCTTGAACTTCTTCTGCAGGGCGGCTGCAGGGTACCGCTTCCCGCCAGCTGCCTCCATGGCATCCGCAATACGGCACCACTTTTCGTTCTCAAACTTGTCCTCGATATCCTTTTTGCATTGGATCAACTTTGCCTCCTATTCACACAGTTAGCACATATCATGGATACCAACAAGTAATAAATATATATAAATAAATAAAGGACTAACATCCTCAGGGCTGAAAACGGTAAAGTTCGCCTTGATACGCTGGTATCTGTTGGACAAGGTACTGCCACCAACGGTCTCGCCCGTGGCCTTCTCCCATGCAGTCTTGATCTCACTCCAGGGCTTGTTCTCCTCATCTTTCATGCGAAGAAGCATCTTGTCCTCCTCACTAGCCTCGTCAAAGTTACTGGGCAAGGCGCGCTTGCCGGCTTTGCTGGGAGTGCCCTTGGCAGGGGTAGCGCGCTTCTTCTTAGATGGCGTCTCCGCTTCATCGTCAGCCTCTTCGGCAGTGGCGGCGCCAGTAGCATCGCCAGCCTTGGCTTTGCGGCCTCTCTTGCGAGGAGTAACGGGGATCTTGGCTTCCTATATTGATGTTAGATGTTAGATATAGATATCACCACAGAGTACAGTATTTGCTCTGATGCATGAACCAAAACAAACCTCTTCAGTCTTGATTGCTCCGTTAGTAGCCTTCTTCCCATTGGCGCCTCGTCCCTTGGCTGCCTTGGTATTGGCGACCTGGGCTTTAGGCGCCTCGCCTTCGTCATCTTCAGCCTTCACGTCGTCGGCGTCTGTGGGTTCAGGCGCTTCCTCAGACATCTCGGAGGCGGGAGTGGACTTCTTGTCCTCGGAGACCTCGCCCTCGCTCGCGTCTTCCATCTTGACGTCGAAGGGTTCGGTCTCCACCTCGTTCAGGGGAGTAAATTCAGGCATTTTGCTGAATATCCGGTGGGTTTTCAGGCAACGAAACTGTTGATAATGGTATTTCTGTACGTGTTTCTACCAACAGAGAATGAAAAGCAGAAGTTGTAAAGAAGGTGTGAAGAAGAAAAGGAGGAGGAGAAAAAAAGAAGAAGAGGAAGAAAGTGGGAGAAAATTCCGCAGCTCTAGATAGTGCAGTAGCTGAACGCTACACGATCCTACTTCAGAATTTTCTAGGCAGATAAAGAAAAACTGAGGCTAGCAAAGATACTTCCCTGGATCTGAGAAGCAAGCGAGAGCTAGTGCAAGACCCAAATAAGGGAGAGAATAGGGCAAGCTTCACTTCTCCTGTTGCTCATCATCTCTTAACTGAGATGCTCTAACATGACCAATGTACCAAAAGGAGTACACTTTATACATTTCAAAGTGAGAGCTCCTTTTTTACAAATAATTTTATGGCAATCTTCTGCCTATAACATCACCTTGCAGCAACAGGGAAAGCCAACAGTACCAGAGCCAGAAGAATACCCGGTAAGCCGCCCACGTCGGTACAGGTATACATCATATACCTGGCCATCATCAGAACGCTACTTTCTCAAGTAGCTTATTCATAACAAATGTGCCAAAATGTTTACTATTGAGGGTATCTTCACTTTCTTCCACTTCTTTTTTCTGTTTTAGCATCTTCCATATTGATATGTTGATGTTAATCTTGATGTTGACGTTAAATTTCTTCGACGTTCGAAAAAAAAAAAAACTTAACTTAAATCGCAGGACCCACTTCCCGCGGAGTTAAGGTTCGGAGCGCTTATGTAATGACGATTTAAACGCGACAGCCGAGGAAGTCGAGTTTGCATTTAGACTACACCATCGTGTAACAGCAAGCAGTGGTTCTAGGTAAGTTGTATCTAGGATGAGAAGTAGAGGGTCCCCAGAGGGGCTCATTACTGCGAGGTAATAATCATAGCCTTTTTTGCAGCGTTTTCTGGATTAAACCTTGCTGTTCAAGGACTACTAGAGGAACCTAGGATGGTGTCATCATCGACTTCACTCTGAGCTTGATGAATGAGGGAACCAGAAACTAAAAATGCTGACATGACTCTGTTAAAAATTATTTAAACCCTCTTACCACCCATGACTTTCTCTTCCAAAACCATCAATCCTAATATCATTCTATGACCATTTCAAAGGTTTCTCCTACCTGGTCGCCCATTTCGACCTCTTTGAACATGTTCCCAACCTCTCCACCCACTCGAAGTATCAGTAATAGGTAGCGGAGAGGGTCATCTGAGACGGCTCAATGAACTCTGCCGGTTCCCGAATTTCAAGTCACGATGCCTTCAGAATGGGTGGCCCCGGGCTGCTGCCTTCTTGGCCGATCCAGATGAACGTCTCCGAAGGATTATCTGAGCAGTTCCGTGAACGACTAATGAATCTTGCATTGGAATACCTTGGGAGGTACCAGTTGAGATACCACCGTTTGATGGTGGTCCGGCGGTACTCTGAAGGTCTGAACCCGAGCCCAGCGGACAATACTCTATATATCTCTCTTTACACTCCACCTAATGATAACTGGGTAAAGGCTCTAGAGGATATACTCTTAGCAATAAAGCCCTTACACTTCACTGGGAGAGTGGAGATGATTGACTATAGAGCCCTGGGGGGCATGAAAACGTTCTCCCCCAATGTACCGGACCAACTGGTCCAAGAATGGGAGCAAATACAATCGGTCATCATTCACCGTCTAGCTTCTACCAATATAAACTGGAAAGCAATGATGCTTCTGAAAAGGGGATATTGGGAGGAAGTTGCTGTCAATACGATAGTGATAAAAGCATCTATCCCATCAAGAGCGTTGGCTATCTCTACACGTGATCGAGTGACTTTCGACCTAGACAATATCCTCGAACGATTTGATCTTCAAGTTGAAATTGTGAGATCTGACCTTATGTGGGGTCTATTTGCCGAACCACCATCCACAGACCCAAGGAATGTTAGCCTCGGATGGCCATTCACAAATATCTACAATCTTATGGGGATGAGTATAGCTAGAGCCGATACCCCTTATATGACAGGAACGCTGGGTGGTTACTTTTGCTTTACGGACGCGGCTGGCTGCGAACAACTCCTTGGGCTAACTTGTTACCATGTCATCGGAACAGGTCCTGATGGCGAAGTTGACTCTCGTAAGTGCATGCTAGTTGATTAGATTGGAATGACCCGTTTTTGATAAGTCATATTATTCATTCAAGATAGTATCCTAACCTCTTACAAGTCATCCAACAATATGGATCCAATAGCATCAATTTTCCATGCCAATCCCCTTCAGGCTCCGATATACAGGCCACCATTGATTATACCATGCAAAAGATGTGTACTCCCTCGGCAAATACTAGAGTTCTGAGTGAGGAGTACCGAGAGATAGCAATACAAGCTAATGAAGCTAGGGAGAGGGAGTTGAATGAGATTCGGTTGTTCAATCCCAACATTGGAACCGTAGTTGCTACATCAGGACTTGGAAATAGATCCCTATCTTCGGGAGTTGAATCCCATTTGAGCTTGATGGACTGGGCTCTCATTCATATTAAGAATGGACGGAAGACGTTTAACTACATTGCTGAAACCGCACCTGCTTCTACACCTTCATGGAAGCCGGAATCCCTGTTTGTTATAAGAAGAGCTCCTATATCCAACTTCCAGGATATAGTTGTAAAGAAGGGCCGCACAACGGGTGCAACATCAGGAATACTGGACGGACTTGTACCTGCTGCATTACGCATACCAGGCTTCCCTGTCGGTGTGCACCGCCGCGGTTGGGTAATTGTCAGCAAGGACATGCCCTTTGCAGAAAACGGAGATTCTGGGGCATGGGTATTAAATATGTCTGGACAAGTAGTTGGAATGATTTTTGCTGGTGACAAGGCCGATGGGACTGCATTAATAGCACCTATGGACCTTATTGTCAAAGATATAGAGGACAAATTGGGAATCCCAAGAGGCTCCTTGAGATTGAAAGATTGATTAAGCCTTCGTGACTGGCGGAGATGTACTGTGATAAAAGCGAAAGATTAGTTTTTTTTTTTTTTTTTTTTTTTCTTAAGTAAGCGAACACCATGGTCTATACGGGGTAGTAACCCAGCGCACCCGGGTGGCTGCATGCTCCTGCTGTGGCATTCACTATCTAGATGACTACTCACACTCAACCTGGTGCCCAGCCATTGGATTTTGAACTACAAAACTGAGCAGAAACCATTTTCAACAAGCTAATTGAACACCGCGAGCCGGTGCCAAAGTATTAAACAAGCCACGTCTGTACGGCTGATGTATAAATGAACAGTCGCACTCGAGTTCCATGTTTCTCGAGCACTTTTTGCCTTTCTGGGACCCATCAGCGGGCTAGATGTCTTCTCGGCAGAGCTGCAACGATGCTCAAAATTTCCCTCCTCGAAACAGACTGAGGCGAAGTAATATGCAGGGTCAACATGAGTAGAAGAGTTTCGCAGTATATCTCTTTGGGATGTTTTACTCCCTTGCAAGTTGTTATTCGCAGTAGCCAGTATAATAGGTTGGTATGGGTATAGTGAAAGCAGCTGCTACGAAGACATCGCAACATACTCCAACAGCTTTCTCTAGAGCACTCCAAAATGCTGTCGGGCCTCCCTGCGACAAGACTGTCCAATCTGTGATGACCTCATTAAAAAACCTGGAACCCACCGTTCGATGGAGAGGCTCTTATGAAGATTAAAGACTGGTTAGTTGCTTGACGAGGGTATCATGTTGGGCACATCGACAGGAGAAGAGAAGTAACAGGTCAGGACTTAAGTATCCGACCGAGGATGCCCACCTAGCCCACCCTCGCCGCCCTTTTCCCGCCTGTGCAAGTCTCTGGTCCAGCTGGTCAGGATACGACGCGCCTCCTGCAAGTCGTTCTTGCGCATTAAACGCAGGAGGCCACCAGTTCGATCCCCCCGGCCTTCGGTGTTCCCGCAGTCGCCAAATCAGCGGCCGCGGTCGAAACTTCACCCTCAGAAAAAACCCAAAAAGACACGGAAGCGGCCCAAACGGCCCACCGCCCGTCGCCCCCCAACCAACGAACCAACGACCAACAGTCTTGGAACAACCAACGACAGCCTGAAGTCAGCCGGCTGAACGAATCTCCCGGAATTCCGGAACAAACAAACAAACAAACAAAACAAACAAACGAGACAAATCTCACCCCCCAACCAAAGTCACATTCCAGGCGGGTACAAGACTCCCTGGAAATCAAAAGGCGTCCAGGGGCCTGGCTGCCCGGAGGATTGCACAGGCTTTTTTTTTGCATTTGGGTCCTCTGGCTTTGGACGTCTCTCTGCTATAACTAAGGGTTAAGGCCGGCGGTAGCAAACAGATGATCCATGGCAAACAAATGGCTGCTTTATCTCTTCTCTCAGATGCCCTGCTGTGTTTGCTGCCGTCTGCTTGCTGCAGTCAGCCGGCCCTGACCATCCCATTGTGCCATTATATCCTTATATCACTGCTTGCAACCGCCCTTCTTTGATCGCTGGGGATGGACAAGACAGCATGGCTGTCAAACGGCGGGCCGGAGGGGGCTATATATACCCCCTATCTCTCTTGCGTAGCTGCCAGGTAGCCAGAGAAGCAGAAGAACCCAAATATAAAATTAAACAACCGGGCGCAGAGTGAGTGAGCATGGCTCTCAGGTTGTTCCCTCGTGGGAGAACCGCCTACTACAACATCTGCATTGACGGCTACCGCATCCCGGGCTCGCTCGACTATGCCACGGTGATGCACCACATCCCTCATCTGCGGGACTGCCCCCGCCGGCCAGCCACCTCCCAGTCCGCCCTGGGCAGGCTGACGGTAGACATCGACCTGACCGCCGCCGTGCGTCGGTGCCGGCTCGTCGATTCGCTGTACTTCCCTCTCTCCCGCTTCCGGGAGTGTCTGGACATTCTTGTCCGCGTCCTGAGAGACTACCAGCGCCATCCACTGCACGATCCAGGCTCGACCTTGTGCGAGAATCTGGACCAGATGCTCCTTCACAGCCGCTACGACTGGGCCAGGGTGCTCGAATACTTTGCTTGTTTCGCATACTTGTTCGACGATGCCGTTCTCAAGGCCTCGGTCTCCCTGCACCGCGGCATGAGCAGTTTTATTGCCCGGAATCGCAGGGAGATGGCACTGCATGCTCCGCTGAATGTATCCTTGCAGTTTGTTGACTTGTGTTTCCACGAGGACTTCACTACCCTGATGACGGCGCTGTTTGAGCAGCTAAGGAGCTCCGATCAGGCATATCTCGTACGGTACATGGGCGTGATACCGCTCTTTTTGGATGGTAGGCCATCAATGCAGATCCCCGGGTATTTCCAAGAACGGTATGGTCCTAGGGGAGGCGTTCGTGACAGGATCAAGATCCGTGCTCGTCGTAGGGTCAGGAGGCGCCATCCTGGCTTGCTGGAGAGGGGGTTATTCATAAATTCTCACTGATGGCATGTCCTTTTTGCCGTCTTGCTTTTTGCATCTTTTCATGTTTCAGCTGCCTTCATACTCAGTGCTCATGTATTGATTGAATACCTGCTGCAATTAAACCAGTCTTGTAGTAGTACTCCGTAGTAGTCGTAGTTATCCAGTTGTTCGCCTCGCACATACATACCTACTCCGTACGGAGTACAGCTAGCCACAAATGTGATCCCAAACTTGAACAAACAAACCACCTGCATAATATCGATAGAAAAGAAAGAATAAAGCATCGTCCAATAACACGCACTTGCTAACGAGGTGGCTGTCTGTCTCGATTTGAAGAATTTGAAGATCTTCTCCAGGGATCTGCACTGCCTAATTGGAATAACCTATAGCTCCATGGAGGCACGGCCCGTAGACTGCCATGGCGTTGAGTTCTGTGCTGGTCAATGGCCAGATACAGTCCTCATCAAGTCACTTGGTCGAATATTGATGTTTGTACGGAGTACATTTAGGCCATAGTTACAGGCCAGAATGAAATAACTAGTGAAGTATTCTCAAAATTGAGACTTGCGATCCATGAAATGCGATGGACAGGACGGAGGTTCAGTCTCCAGAATGCCCAATATGAGGGACGGATGAATATAAAAAGGCCCATGGGCTTCTCTGTTTCTGTCAGGGATATCCTCATCACCATCACCATCATCAACAGACACCAGACTGACTGCTAATTGTTAAAGACAGCCACTGCTCAAGTCGTCAAGTCAGTATCCCCTTACCCATCTGACTCGTCCCCATTCTAACAAGACATAGAATGCGCGTCATCAACCTCATCCTCGTTGCTCTCATGAGCATCTTCGTCGACTCCGTCCTCGGCGCTGCTTGCTTCTCCGAAAAGGCCAGCGGAAGCTGCCTGACCAAGGCTCGTCTCGGAACCGCCATCAACACCTATTGCAAGAACAACTGGCGCCAGACCACCACCAACTGGCGTCCATGGAAGGGTGCCAACGGCGCCATGGGCCAGATCGGTCATCTCGGCGTGTTCAAGAGTGAAGCTGCCTGCCGTCGTCTCGGAAACCATGTCGTTGACAAGTGCTATGGCGGCCCCAAGGGTGGTGCTGCTGAGAAGGCCGGAGCTGCTATCAACATCATCTGGTGCCCCTTTTCGTCTCAGTAGACCCACCTCAACTAGTTTATGGGAGGAGCTGATGTGATGTACTCTGTTGGGAGGTTAGTGGTATCACGAAGTCAAGGAGTCAAGAATCCAAGATGATATCTGATGTACCGAGACCAAGAAATCAAGTAAAGTCAAAAATTCGTTCATTCATTTGTAACCTGTAGGCCTGCTCCGATCAGAGTAACATGAAGTTTGAAGAAAAGAAGAAGCAAACATGGAATAAGGGTATAATATATACACAGAGAAGAACGATGCCCGGGAAAATCCACAGCCCACTCTGGGGGAGAAGAAAGAAAAGAGTTGAAAGTTGAATAACCCACGCCCACCATCCGTGTAATAAAAGAAAATAAAGAAGAAAGTCGAAATACGCAAGTTCGAAATCCCCGGGAATGCAATGCAGTACAGTACAGAGAAGGTGGAGGATGACGGCTTCGTTACGGCCGTCGTGGCCAGCGGGTGAGGTGGGAAAGTGAGGTGGAAGGTGAGATGAGAAGCAGTGAAAAATTCTGGCGCTTAGTGACGCGGTGTTCACCATCCGGTTGCATCTGTGCCTCGCGGAGTCTCGTCCGTGGACTGATAATTGGCCTGCTCCTCGCTGGTGTCCTTGCGGGGTGGTGGAGGTGGACGGATCTTGGTACCGACGAATCCTCGACGGTTACGGCCCGTTCGGCCACGACCAAGCCAGTTGTGCTTGAGTGCTTTGCTGAGCTCTTCAATTTTCTGCTGAGCGTCGTCGTCGCTTTGGACGCTGGCTAGCACGCAGATGCATTGGAGCATACGGCCGGCAGTCTCAGTGACGTGTGAGGGATCTGTGGGTGGAGGTTGAGGAGGTGCAGGAATGTTGGTTGAGTGGGAATGGGTTTGCGCGAGGATGGAAGGCTGAGATGGAGAGAAAGAGGAGTAAGAAGACGGGTAGGTGTGTTCTGGGTTGGAAGAGGTGTTCGATATTGCGCGTGCACGGGTGAGAGATGCAATGGCTGATTCGGAGGAGAAGCTACCGGCGTTGAGATGGGACGAAGACGGCTGGGAGGCATAGCTCCCTCCACCGAAACTAGTCTCGTAGCCGGCAGCGGTGCTGGGTCGACTGGCGCTGGCGGTCGTAGAGCTGTGTAGAGTAGCGGTTGGTGGTCCGTTGATATTGGCGTTCATTTTCTCCAGGCTGAGGCGAGAGAAGGCTGCCTTGAGCACATCGTAGCGGGTTAAGATGACGTTGTCGCGGAATGAGGTGAGGACTATCTTGCGGACATCCAGGGCGTCGCCGGCAGAAGTAGAAGCATCGCTTGCACCCGGTTGGGCGCCCCAGAACTCCCTTGCTTCGCGGGTATTCATGATCGAGCCGTGGCCCTTGAATTCGAGGTCCAGGGGCAGGAAAGTGGCCTGGATA